AGATCGCGCCATTGCACTCCAGCCTGGGTAACAAGAGCGAAACTCCGTCTCCAAAAAAAAAAAAAAAGAAAAAACTGAAACAGTGCTTCAAAGATGCAGACAGTTTTTGTTCTGAACCTTTGCAACCTTTTTTCTCTTTTGGAGTTAAGAGCTCATTATAGGAAAAAAATTTCAATTTTACTATTTTTTTGTGGGAGAGGGGTATGGTCATATATGTGGAATTTGAAAAGACCCTGAGTGATTTTTTTTTTTTTCTTCTTGTGTCAATGGGGTTTCAGCCCTGAGTGATTTTTGACTGCCCTTCCTTACTGGGAATCACTGGGGATATGTCCCTCCTAGAAGCAAGAACTCATTGAGCTAGCCACTCTTGGGTTCGTTTAAGACAGAATGCTTGGCCAAGCGTGGTGGCTTATGCCTGTAATCCAAGCACTTTGGAGGCCAAGGCAGGCCGATCACCTGAGGTCGGGAGTTCAAGACCAGCCTGACCAACATGGTGAAACCCCATCTTTTAAAAACAAACAAACAAAAAAACCAGACTGCTTGGTGTATCTGGGGTGCAGTGGTACAATCATGGCTCACTGCAGCCTTCACCGTGTCAAGTCATCCTTCTGCTTCAGCCTCCTGAGTAGCTGGGACTATAGGCGTATACCACCATGCCTGATTGACTGACTGATTGATTGATATGTTGCCCAGGCTGGTCTCAAACTCCTGGACTGGAGCAATCCTCTTAGAGTGCTGGGATTACAGGTGTGGGTTGTTGCCTCTGGCCTGAAGGCTTTTTTAGGCAGAGAGATCCACGAGGCCTGGCTCCATTAGTGCAGTATCCTCTCCTCTCCAGGCCCCTTATTTAAAATCGGGCTCTGGCAATTTGGGCCCATCCAGACCTGAGGTGGTACATGGTAAGGGCCTGTCTCATCGCAGGCTAGAGTCAGAAGGTGTGGAGAGCTCTCCTTGAGCTTTCTCCCTGGGCTGGAGCTGTATCGTGGCAACAGTGAGGCACCACTAGCCAGTTGGTAGACCCTATGTATGCCAGCAGCCTGCTGCCTCTGACTTCTCCACCATAGATAAGTTCTGCCGCTTCTGGGACTGCATACAAATGGCATAATCTAGCATGTCGTTGTTTCTGACCTCTTACCCAACAGTGTTTCTGAGATTCACTGATTGCTGCTTGTATCATTACGTACCTCCATGGCTAGGTACTCTCCATCATATGAGAATAGCACATATTTGTTCACCCATTCTTCTGTTGGTAAATATTTGGGATTCCCATTTTTGGCTTTTAAAAAATTAGAAGCCAGGTGTGATGGTTTGAGCCTGTAATCACAGCACTCTGGGAAGCCAAGGCGGGTGGATCACCTGAGGTCAGGAGGTCAAGACCAGCCTGACTAACATGGTGAAACCCCGTCTCTACTGAATACAGAAAAAAAAAAAAAAAAAAAAGTATAGATTAGCATGTAGAGAAGCAGAGTAGTTACAGAGAATGCCTGAAAATAATACGTCACAATAGGGCTAAGATTCAGCTATAAAAGGATGAAATTGTGATACATCCTGCTGCGTGGATGAACCTTCAACTTCTTGCTGAACGAAAGAAACCGGGCACAAAGCCTACAGGTGGCATCGTCGTTTATATGAGCTGTCCACAATAGACAAATCAACAGAGATGGCATGGAGGAGTAGTTGCTTAGGAATGTGGGTGTTGGGAGTGATGGAGGAATTGTGGAGCTTGTTTTTGGCATGATGAAAATTGCGATTGATTGAGGTCATGGTTGCACAGGTCTGAATACGCGAAACACCATTGACTTGTACAGTTGTATTTGTTGTTGTTCCTGAGATGGAGTCTTGCTCTGTCACCCAGGCCGGAGTGCAGTGGTGCCATCTCCGGTCACTGCAACCTCTGCCGCCCTTGTTCAAGTGATTCTCATGTCTCAGCGTCCTAATTACAGGCGCATACCACCACACCTGGCTAATTTTTGTATTTTTAGTAGAGATGGGGTTTCTCTAGGTTGGCCAGGCTGGTCTCGCACTTGTGACCTTGTGATCTCCCTGCCTCAGCCTCCCAAAGTACTGGGATGCCAGGCGTGAGTTACCGCACCTGGCCCCGTACACTGTGTTTTTAATACTCCACAGTTCTACTAAAACTTGTATACTTTAAATGGCTGAATTGTGTGATACATTAATTATGCCTCAATAAAGCTGCTAGAAAAAACTGAAACAGGCCGGGCGCGATGGCTCACGCCTGTAATCCCAGCACTTTGGGAGGCCGAGGCGGGTGGATCACGAGGTCAAGAGATCGAGACCATCCTGGTCAACATGGT